CCTCTGCCCCAATCTGGCAGCCTGCCAAGGGGGCTCAGTCCCTGCCCCCCGCCAACCACCCATGGTGCCTCCCCTAGGGAGAAGCATCTTGCGGGGGCTGCAGGGAGCCGGATGGCTCCCACCAACCAGGAAGCCAGAGGCAGGGAGAATTGGTCACCTCTGTCCTGACGTGGGATTCCACCCAAATCAGCCTCCGGAGGCATGAGGCCAGCTCTGGCAGCCTGCCAAGGGGGCTCAGTCCCTGCCCCCCGCCAACCACCCATGGTGCCTCCCCTAGGGAGAAGCATCTTGCGGGGGCTGCAGGGAGCCGGATGGCTCCCACCAACCAGGAAGCCAGAGGCAGGGAGAATTGGTCACCTCTGTCCTGACGTGGGATTCCACCCAAATCAGCCTCCGGAGGCATGAGGCCAGCTCGGGCCACCCGGGAGCCAGGTGTCTGGGTCGGCGGCTTGCGGGGCTCGGGTGAGCTCCCCAGGGCCCCGGCGGCCAGGCTGGGCGGCTCAGGGGTGCAGGGGAGGGGAGGGGGTGTCGCTGCTGCCGCCAGTTGCTCTGTGGTTGTTCTGAGCTGGGTTTGGCCTGCGGCTCCCGCTCTGTGGTCTTTGCTTTCCAAGAAACAACTGGGAACAGACTCGCGTCCGTCTGGAAGCTGGGGAACGTGGCAGGGACTCTGCAGGCTGCCGGGCGGAACGTGACTTTGGGAGCAGCGGTGGGGCAGCGGGGCCAGGAAAGTCCCGTCGTCTCCCCGTGTTCCAGTGGGCAGGGATGGGAGGCAGCTCTCAGCCTCTGCTGGCGCCGTCCAGGAGGTGCCAGCCCTTCCAGCTGCGCTTCCTCCGCAGGACGCCGGGGTTACCTCCTCTGGGCCAACGGCATCCTGCAGGGAACGACTTTCACGTGCCAAAGGCCCGTGGCAGCCGGGAGCCGCGGCCTCTGCGTTCTCCGGCCAACAGAGTCCGTGGGCAGGGGCGGAGGGCCGGGCTTTTCTCATCTTCCTGCAGCCCAGTGGGACGAGGTTCTGTGTCTGGGTGGGGAGATTTGATACCTGCAAAAACTATCCCGGGGTCCTGCAGGCAAACGAGAGGCCTGGGGCTTGGGAGCGGCACCTTTCCGCACACGGCAGACAACGCGCACGGCGGTCAGACCCTGCCCCTGGAGCACGGGCGCTGGCCCCGAGGGAGACTCCCCGCACGTTTCTCATGCAGCCGGGTGCAAATTCCTTTCCGTGGGAGCAATGGAGCGTGTGCAATGCGATTTGGGTGCACAGAGAGGGGAGCCAAGCATCTCCCCATCTTGAATGTATTCGCCTCCCCGGGCCCTGGGCCTCAGGCCCCGCCTCCCCCTGCCCAGGGATTCACTTAACCCCACCCAGGGACACACCTCCTCCTGCCCAGGGACATGCCTTCCCCTGCCCAAGGGAGGCAAGGTCATGCTGTTTTCCCCATTCACAAAAGGAAATTGAGTTACAGAGACTAAGTGGCATGCACAAGGTTACACAGGCAGTCTGTGGCAGAGCACAGAACCGGGCTCTAGGCGAGCATCCTAACCACTGTTTTTCATCTCTAAATATGCACACAGACGCGCACACACACACACACACACACACACACACACACACACACACACAATTCAACAGCATATGATTCACACCAGTTTCCAGGCTGTGCGTGGCAGGGAGCAGGTCGCAGCGGCTGACCCGGCCCTGCAGAAATGGCTGACGCTGGTGACACTGGGTCCGGCTGCGCTCTGCAGAAGGCAGGAGGCTCCTACAGGGGGAAGGAGGCCTCTACCGGCACCCCTGGGCTCCTCACCCCCAGGAGAGGTAAGAGAGGAAGGTAACATGTGACCGAACTCTCCCCCCAACTCCCCAGGGTCCTCAGGGACTCTCCCAAGCTCTCTCCTGGGACTGGTTCCCACCCATCCTGCAGCCCCCCACAGCAGAGCAGCCCATGCGTGGCCAGACCGACCCGGGGACGTGTGAGGCTCCAGCCCCGGCAGGACTCGGGCCTTGGGCTCATCCCACGTGGCAAAGAGGCGGCGGCGCCACTCGCCACAGTGGGGCCAGAGAGGCGGGTGGCGCGGCACCATCATGATCCGCCATTCTTCTCCTTAGTGTGCCCCTAAACACAGCCCCCCCCCAGAGCCTCCCTCCAGAGCCCCCCCCCCACAGAGGCCCCTCCAGGAGCCCCCAAGCCCTCCTCCAAAGAACCCCCCCAGAGAGCTCCCCTCCAGCACACAGACCCCCCTCAAAGCCCCCCTCCAGAGCTCCCCCCCACAGAGGCCCCTCCAGGAGCCCCCAAGCCCTCCTCCAAAGAACCCCCCCAGAGAGCTCCCCTCCAGCACACAGACCCCCCTCAAAGCCCCCCTCCAGAGCTCCCCCCCACAGAGGCCCCTCCAGGAGCCCCCAAGCCCTCCTCCAAAGAACCCCCCCAGAGAGCTCCCCTCCAGCACACAGACCCCCCTCAAAGCCCCCCTCCAGAGCTCCCCCCCACAGAGGCCCCTCCAGGAGCCCCCAAGCCCTCCTCCAAAGAACCCCCCCAGAGAGCTCCCCTCCAGCACACAGACCCCCCTCAAAGCCCCCCTCCAGAGCTCCCCCCCACAGAGGCCCCTCCAGGAGCCCCCAAGCCCTCCTCCAAAGAACCCCCCCAGAGAGCTCCCCTCCAGCACACAGACCCCCCTCAAAGCCCCCCTCCAGAGCTCCCCCCCACAGAGGCCCCTCCAGGAGCCCCCAAGCCCTCCTCCAAAGAACCCCCCCAGAGAGCTCCCCTCCAGCACACAGACCCCCCTCAAAGCCCCCCTCCAGAGCCCTCCCCCAGAGCTCCCACCTGGCACACAGAGCCCCCCCAGCACTCCCCCCCAGGCAACAGCTGATCCATGATCCAGTCTATGTGGCCTAACCACTCCCCGGGGACCCAACCTTAGCCTGGTTTCCTTTGGGCTTTCCAGAGGCGGCATCCTGGCCTCTCGGAAACAAACCGGCACCGCCCGGCTCCCGCGCACGGCAGAGAAGTGGCGGGTTCCTCTCTGCTCGTTTGTGATCCAGAACGAGCTTCCTGTTGTGCCCTCTCCTCCCCTCCCCCCGGCTCAGGGCCGAGGCAGCGGGCTGGGCCCTCCCAAGCACGAGTCTGCGCATTGCGCTCAGGTTCGAAGGGTGCGTCTCCACAACACCTGAGCTCAGAAGAAGATACGTGAGTTGTGCGACACATCTTCTTTTGAGCGCATTTCGAAATAGCGTATTTCGACACATCCCTTAACCCTCGCGCTGCCGGAATAGCACTCCCCTTATTTCGAAACAACGGGCGCGTTTGAAAGACGCGGGGGAGCTATTTCAGGGCACCTCCGGTCTCCCAAAACACCTGCTGTCTGGGCGCACCCGAAGGTGCCACAGGGCCCCTCGCTGATTCTAAGGCTGCAGAGCCCCGCGGCTCGCCGCAGAGGGGAAGGTGGCTCTAGCCGAGGGATTCTCTGGCGCATGCCGCAGCGGAGCCCCATGTGGCGGGGGGGTTGGTACCTAAGACACCGCAGGCCGCGTCCATGTGCGAGTGCTGGAGGGACGATCGCTTGTACACCACGTGGGGGCTTCCCTCGCCCTCGCTCCCTGCACTCAGGTTGGCGCCCAGGCTGAGGGGCTCGATGAAATACTCCTCCTCGTCGGCCACGATCACCCCGTGCTGGAAAAGGAGAGAGCCAGGGACAGTGAGAGGGGAGGGGGTGCTGTCTCCCTTCTGCAAACTCCCCCCTGCCCCCCGGGACCCAGAGACACCAGCGGCTACAGATGAAACAGGAACAGAAACGAGCCTTTCCCAAAACTTAACCCACAAACTCCCGACGAGCCGGCCCCACAGGGCCCCACAGTTCGACCTAACTGGCCTCCCAGCCTACGTGCACTGAGATATCCACTCACGTTGGAACCCTGTTGCACGACTACAGAGGCCCTGGTGCGAAGGAGAGTCGAGCCCTGGAAATACAGCGTCTGCCAGAGTCTGAACACCCGCTTCTGACCTGAAGAGCACCGGGTGGCTGGAACGCGTGCTGCTTTCACCACAAAAAGATAGGCCCTCCGCCGCCTTGTCTTGCTAAGCTGCTAACCCGGGGCGGGCAATAAAACGGCAGCTGGCTCTGGTCTGCCAGGTACAGAGGATCACAGCTCCCATTGGCCGCGGATCGCCGTTCCCAGCCAATAGGAGCTGCAATCGCCTACGCGCGGAGGTGCAGGTAAATATAGCAGTGGTGGCCCACCAGGGGCTAGCTCGGGGGATGGATCTGGGCTGCAGGCTGGTATTTGCCCACCCCTGTTCTAACCAGCCCCACGGCAGAGACATTACACACCTGGCGCACGCTTAGCGAGCTAAGCTCACTGGAGGGAAATGTAGCTGGCAAATATGGCCCCTCTCCCCCTTCCTCTGTTGTGAATCATCTGTGCAGAGATCTAGGGCCGCAAGGAACTCCACCGCCTTTTGTAAAGTGCCCAGCAGCATCTTATTTTCACTCCGAGCTGCTGTAAAGTGTGACGGTAGGGCCAGGGCCATGGCGAATCGGCCTCCTTAACAAACCCTGCAGGAATCAGCCATTCACGCTGGCCGAGGAACGGCGTGTGGGCAAATGTCAGCCTAGGAGGACTGGTTGAACTGCTCAGTGCGATAGGATTTGTTCTGAACTTGGTCTCTCAGCCGATCCCTGTGAATCTGGCATTAGCGCTCAGAAATTGGCTTGGACCAATTGGGTGACTGACCCCCACATCCTGTGGTGCTTGGTTTGCTCCCAGGAGGAATGTGGCAAAGGAGGGAGTGGCACGGAGCCAGCGCTCGCAACCAATTTCAGCTGCATCATCTTTTCTGCTGACCTTTGAAACCCACGTCTGGGATGGCCCCGTGAAACTGCCTCCCCACACGTGCCCCGTGGGACCCCCGGGCCGAGCAGACCGCACTCGCTGGGTGTGGGTGGTATTGGGTGCTCAGTTCACATAAGCGCCCTGCTGTGTTTGAAAAACCCAGCCCATTTACCCGGCATTGCCCGGGACTTAACGCGGCTCCGGGGAACGGCAGTCAGGCAAGGGCGGAGCCCCGGGCCCCAGCGAAATGCGATTCAGGACCGGCAGGCTGCGTGCGGATCCGTAGCCCTACAGCCGGCCGCAGGAAGCTTTAGGCTCACAAATGGTCTAGGTGGCCAGCAAGGATTTTGGCTGGACTAAATGTCTGCGATTGGCCCAACTCTGCCTGGTGTGTACACAGGCCCCATTGTGCTAGTACACGAGCACCTCCCGCTGGGCCCTGCATTTCCCCTCCCTGGCACCGCCCCGGAAGCGCAGCGGCCTGCTCGGCCCCAGTCCCAGCTGGAGACCAGAGGCAGAAAGAGACCAAGGCAGCGATGGGCAATCTCTGGGGCCGCAAGCTTGTTGTAAGCGACGGTCTCCCGGGCGAGGGCAGTTTTGCTCCCGGCGCTTGTGTGACTAGAACGCGCGGGCTATGCCGAACCGGAGCAGCGCTGGGACTGGCTGCAGGGGGGGCGCCCGGCTCCCACAGGCCGTGTTGGGTGCGACCAGCAGGCACCTCCCTGCCTGTACGTGCGGGTCACTTCAGTAACACCGTCGGGAAAAACACCACGTGGACGGAAACCAGCCGACTCCGGCAACCTGGGCAACGGTAGCACACTGTCTCACGGGCCACACCCAGGACCCCGCAGGCCGCAGGTCGCTCACCCTTGGACTAAGTGCTTGTTTCCACTGCTCTGCAGTAGCCAGCACCAGCCGGCTTGTGCAGCCCCTGCTGGTGCGCGTTAACAGCTCATTCATGCACTTGGAGCCTTTCTGAAACAGGCGAGAGCCAAGGGGCCCAGGCAGCCGGGGGCAGATTCGCAGCCTGAGTGTGTGGGGAGAAACCCCAAGTGACTAGTCCGGAGTCACGCAGAAAATCCGTGTTGGAGCCGCAGTGACCTGGATGTGAGCCTCCCAGGCATATCCCCTAACCACTAGGCCACACTTCCTCTCTGTGCTGTTGATAAAGCACGGCCCAGGACATAGCTACATTCCAAGCCCTCCCACGGCCCCTTCTCCGGCCAGTCGCTTGGCTTCCCGAGCTGGAGACGATACAGCGCCCTGAGCCCCTGGCCTGGAGGATGCTATGTCAGTAAAGAAACGACGGCCGGGAAAGTCGGGTGCACGTCCTTTGGGGTTCCACGCCACTTCCTTCCTCAGGCTCTGTCCCCTCCCCGGCCAGGCAAGCTGAATCGGGCAGTGTGTGCCGCAGAGCCCCCTCTCCGAGGGCCGGGGGATTTCCTTCTGCACCGAGCTCTGTTGCTCTTGGCCCGGCGCCCTCGCTCGAACACAAGCGAGGTAGTATGAGGTTAAAAGTCGGGTGCACGTCCTTTGGGGTTCCACGCCACTTCCTTCCTCAGGCTCTGTCCCCTCCCCGGCCAGGCAAGCTGAATCGGGCAGTGTGTGCCGCAGAGCCCCCTCTCCGAGGGCCGGGGGATTTCCTTCTGCACCGAGCTCTGTTGCTCTTGGCCCGGCGCCCTCGCTCGAACACAAGCGAGGTAGTATGAGGTTAGCCTGGCGAGGGCTGCAGCCGAGCGCCCAGCGGCGGCCCGCGTGGCCAGCTGGCCGCCCGCCGCCTGGGG